GGAGGAAAGGGGCGAGGCAGGAATGGCGGCGGAAGAGGAAGGCAATGGAATGGCCAAGGCCAGGGGTACCAAGGCCAAGGGAGTCAAGGCCAGGGGTACCAAGGCCAAGGGAGTCAAGGCCAGGGGTACCAAGGCCAAGGGAGTCAAGGCCAGGGGTACCAAGGCCAGGGCTATCAAGGCCGGGGGGATCAGGGAAGTCAGGGGTATGAAAGACCCCGCTTTGACTGGAGGACGGCCATCTGTCAACATTGTGACCAGCAGGGCCACACTATAAGGTTCTGTAATATAAGACGAGAAGACGAGAGAAGCGGACTGATTTCCTCTACTATGGATGGGAATATCTACGATCAGTTTGGGGAGGCCATTGACAGAAGGCTTGGATGAGTGAGGGTTGAAGCCCAACGAAGAGCGGCAGCTGGGCCACCACCCCCTGCCATGTTCAGGCTATGGCAGGAAAAGGAGAAACCACCATTTGGGGTGGAAGAAGTAGGGAGCGATGAGGAAGTGACTCAAGGGCTGCGAGGAGGAAGTGAGACGGAAGAGGCCATAATCATCGAGTCAGATGACGAGGATGAGGAGGAAAGAACGGAGCCTCTGTCCGTCTTATTTGAGAAGATGGAGGACTTGCTAGATAAGATGGGGAGGTACCACCAGAAGTTGGTAGGCCTCTGTGAAGGAGTGAAAGGATGAAAGTCTAATATCCCCACAGTATTCCTCTATGACTCCGGCCCGGAGTCAGCGCCTGGGCGACCCGGAGTAAATGTGGTGGGGTCGTGCCCTCAACCGGGAATGAGGGGGAGATCCCTCACTCCGCAGGCCCGGCTGGCACAGGCAGCGCGAACGAGGAATCAAGTCGAGGCCAGTACCAGCCAAGAGCCTCCAAGGGGGGAACACGAACCAGGGAGAAGGAAAGAGGTTGTGGAAGTAGAGGACGACGATGATGAAGAGGAAGAGGACGAGAGGCTGCACAGAGAAGAGGATCAGAGAGCGGAGCAGTGGGCAAGGAAAATGGGAACCAGGGGAGAGGCCAAACCGGTCATACATGGCGGACCGCCCAAAAAGAAGAAATATGCGGTCCGGTTGGAAGAGGGATTTGATGTAGAAAAGGTGATTGACCGGCTGCTGGAAGGGCATAATGACCTCATGATCCTGAAGGAAATCCTAGCGTCAGCCCCGCGACTCCGCGATAGACTGAAGGGGAGGTTATCACGGCCCCTGGTGTCTAATGTCCATCTGGGTACGATCCTGCCCAAGGAGGCAGAGTGGGCAGAGTCAGGTACGAAGATGGACTGGAAGTGCGTAGCCTGTGGTACGGTGGATTTGATGGTGAAGGGTTCCAAGTGCGTAGCAATGGTGGACACCGGGGCAGAGATGAACATTATTCGGGAGGCGGACGGGATCAGATTCGGGCTGGATATAAGCCGTTCTGACTGCGGTATTCTGCATGGAGCCAGCTGTAAGGCAATGTTTTACGGGACAGCCTCGAATGTGCTCGTCGAGGTTGGAAAGGTGAAGGCCGGGGCATGTTTCTTCATAATGCCAGACGTGGACCATGGAATCCTCCTGGGGAGGTCATTCCTAAGCAGGACAGAGACCGTGATGTTCAACAAACATGATGGGACGTTGATCCTCCTCTTATGCGATCCTGCCTGCGGAAATTATGAAATAATTACTTGCAGGAATACCGGGCCAAGGAGTATAAGGAACCGACCCAATCCAGGATCATTCACAATCGAGGAGTCGGAAGGGGAGCGCAGGAGGCTCTGGGCAGAGCCCGAAGCAGGAGAGAGGGTGAAAATATTTTTCCTCAGCCTGTCAGATGTTGGGAAGGCCATGGACCTGGTGGCCGCGCATGAGATGGCGGATCCGGATGCCATCCAGGCCTTGAGGGAACAAGTTCTGGAATGCCCTGAGGTAGGAAGGTTGGAACTGGTATATCGGCTCCCAGGCAGTAAAGGGAACCCCTCATCAGCGCAAACACAATCCGTGAGTCGGCCTTTTTTAGGGGACAGCTCAAGCAGGGTTCTCAAAGGCGGTACAAGACGGTAGATAAGAAGTGTCGCCCGGTACCCGTCCTCGTTACAGAGGACGAGGAAGCATATTACGAGAGGGAACGAGGGTTGATTCGACAAATGAGGGAAAGTGCTTTAGCAGGGCCATGTCGTATCAACGAAGGGAACGAGAAGGAGTTGATCATAGGGGAGTCTGATTTCCTGCTGCCTCAAGAGCGAATGCTGATGGTGGAATTAATGAAGAGGAAGCATCGCGCCTACGCGTTTAGAGACCAGGAGCGTGGCATGCTGGATGTAGATAAGATACCTATGATCCGCATCCACACCGTGCCACACGAGCCTTGGAACATGAGAGGGGCGCGATATCCCAATCCTGACGAGGAAAGGAAGGTGGTGGATTAYCTCGACGRCAAGATACRTACTCACGTCGCCGACTATTCAAGTGGAHYSTATGCGTCCCCGTGGTTCTGCTTTATTAAGCCTAACGGGACGYTGCGGTGGGTGCAGGATTTGCAAAGATTGAATGCAGTGACCGTGCGAGATGCTGGAGGACTGCCGAATGCAGACGCGCTGTCGGAATCCTGTGCTGGAAGGCCTATAATTTCGCTTATAGACCTTTACTCAGGATACGATCAGTTCTCAATCTACCTGCCGGATAGGCCGGTGACAGCTATGCACACGCCGCGAGGATTAGTCCACATGAACGTGGCCCCACAAGGGTGGACCAACGCAGTAGCAATGGTCCAACGRGCCATGATTMRRGYCATGCAGTCAGTCAGCCCCCATATCACACAGCCATACATTGACGATTTGGCAGTGAAGGGGCCGGCGATGAAAGAGAGCGACGAAGTCTCACCAGGGGTAATGCGCTTTGTCTGCAAACACATCCAGGACCTCGAAAAGGTCCTGAGCCTGCTCGAAGAGCATAACCTCACGGCAAGCGGGGCCAAATCCAGACACTGCATGAAGGAAGCGACTATCTTGGGGATCGTCTGCATTGAGAAGGGCCGAAGGCGGGATGTGAAGAAGACGGACAAGATTACTGAGTGGCCAGTTCCGTTCCACTTAATAACTGATGTCAGGAGCTTCCTTGGTACGTGTGGATTTTGGAGGGCCTTCGTCAAGAACTTTGCCGCTAAGACTGAACACCTAAGGAAGTTAGTCCGTCAGGATCAGGAATGGGTATGGGGTGAGGAACAAGAAGAGGTGGTGGCAAAAATGATAAAGGAATTCCGAGAAGGAGGGTTGGTGTTAGGAGCGCCAGATTATGACGCCACAGAGACACGACCCTTTATTGTCGAAACGTATGCGGGACCGACCGCCTTAGGGGGAGTTCTAATACAGACAGACATGGAAGGAAAGGAAAGGCCCTTGCGATTTGAGAGCCGGACTCTCAGTACGACAGAGAGAAACTACTCTCAGTTCAAGAGGGAGACCCTTGCTGTCCTCCACTGTCTGCGAATCTTCCGGAACTATGTCTTCGGCAGGAAATTTATTTTGAGAGTGGATCCGACCGCCCTAGCCTACTCTCTAAGGAATTACGTTCCATCGGATCCGACGATTGCCAGATGGCTGACGTACATCTGGATGTTCAATTTCGAATTAGAACAGATTCCTGGTAGTAAGAACCGGGCAGACGGGCTGAGTCGGATCAACTGGGATAAGCAGGAAGGGGAGGCGGTGGAGAATACGCCCCAAGTCGATGGATTTCTGGATCAGGAATAAGATGTTCGTCTCCATATCAATAAGTGGTCGCCGCGAGTGCCCAACTGTGTAGGCTATCCTATTTGGCAAGCGCCGAGCGGATATGAAAGGAGGACCGAGCTGGTCCTCAAACCCTTTAAAGAAGAGGATCCCTGGGGCAGTAAGGATGTTCAGTGGATGATGGAATTAGCGTTGGTCAGCTCGCATAGCCTGGTGGAGGATATGAGGACGATTGAGGAAGGACCTGGCCAGGTAGAACGGCATGAGGACCTGATGGAAGGAATGTATCTCCTCGTCAATACGTTATTGCAGGAAAGCCTAGAAAAGTCAGGCTCGTTGAACCCGACAGGGAATGTGGACGAAATACCCGAGAGTCAGGACGACGAGTTCGAGGAAGGGGAAATTAAGGAAGCTTTTCGTGCAGAGGAGTACGACGGGATCTACCTAAAGCTGGGGCTTCTTCTGTCATGTGAAATGCGGCTAAGAGATGCGAGTGATAGGGCTCAAAGGATGCTGCAGCGCTACTTAGTGCGAGACGGTTACCTTTTCGTAAGAAGGGAAGTGGGGAATCCCAGGAGAGTCGTCTGCGGTAGGAATCGTCAGATCGACGTCGTAGCAGTGCTTCACAATGGTATTGCAGGAGGACATCGAGGGGTACAAGCCACGTATGCCAAGATAAGTGAGCTGTACTACTGGGATGGGATGATGGATATGGTCGGAAAGTTCTGGCGATCTTGCGTACCTTGCCAGGAAAGATCCCATTTAAAGCAAGGAGAGCCGCTGCATCCCAGGCTAGAGCGAGAGGTGGGGGCTGTAGTGCATCTCCATCTACTTTTTATGCCACTTGGGGATCAAGGCTATAACTATATCTTCGATGCGCGCGATAACCTGTCTGGGTTCGTAGACGGGCGTGCTATTCGCACAAAGACCGGGTCAGTCCTGGTGAGCTGCATCGAGGAGTACTACCTGCGTTATCCTTTCGTCAGGGAATTCGTAATAGACAGGGGATCAGAGTTTACCTGCCAGGAGGTGCAAGAACTGTTATCAAGGTATGGTGTGGCAGCCAACTACACCACGGCCGCGCACCCCCAGGCAAATGTTCCCGTAGAGAGAGGACATAGTATCATTACGAATCTCCTGGCCAAATGGACCGAAGGTAGGCCTAATCAATGACCAAGATACCTAAGGGCGACTTTCTTTGTCGAGAACATTACAGTAAAGAGATCCACCAAGTATACACCTGCGACGCTGTGGTACGGAAGGCATGCCACCTTCCCTATCGAAAGCTTTCTTAAGACATGGAGGCACCAGGATCTGGAAGTTAACCTTTCATTTGAAGAGTTGCTCGATATTCGGGCGCGGCAGGTTGGGGCGATAGAAGAAAGGATCCAAGAGGCATCTGATCAGGTGGCGAGAAGCCGTATGGATGATAAGGCTCGATGGGATCAGTCTGCGCGAGTGAGGAAAGTACCCTTGGCAGTCGGGGATGTCGTGCTTCTCTACGATACATCGCTGGAGAAGTAGTGGTCCAGGAAGCTCGATAAGAGATGGTTAGGTCCCTACCGAATCGCACGGGTCGGAGAGTTCGGAGTGTACCAGATCGAGGAGTTAAATGGGACTGAGTGGAAGGATTGGGTATCTGGAACGCGACTGAAGAAATTTGTGGCGAGAGAAGAGGTAAGAGAGATGACCTGACCGCCTTTAGAATAGAAGTAACAGGGTGTGTAGGTTAGGAAGGATGCATGCTGCATGAGTGTGGTCTGGTCTGAGCTTGCTCTGATTATCATCTGCTTGCTTACCCCAATGCGTGTCTGTTGTCTCCTTCGCCTGTTGTGCAGGTCTGACTTTACGAAGACAGCCATGCCAAGAGGAGGGAAGGGGACACGGCTGCCTCAGAGGCCGTTGGGCGCATCAGGAGGATATGAGCGGCATGGGCCTCGCCATCGAGAGAGTACTCCAGTCTATAATGATGGGGACATCGAGCTATTCCTGTACAGTTTCTAGGAGCATGCGAGGCGTAAGGGCTGGACCGTCGCTCAGGCGATTGAGAGATTGAGGGGAGCAGGTAGGTTCGAAGAGCCCATTACCAGGATTCGTAGGGAGGCGACGACGAGGCAGGAGGTGGAGATAAGGATGGAGGAGTTGCGACCCTTGCCTGTGGGACCTGATGGCAGGCCGATCCGCCTGGAGATTGGAAATGCGTCGGACTTCATCCCCGCGTTTGAGTGGTTCATGCAAGAGCAGGGCATACAGAGAGATGATTGGATGCAGACACTACCACTCTGGACCAGGAAGGCGGAAAGGTCACTGGTTATGCAGATCAGAGACATGGCACGAGATTGGGAGAGCTGCAGGGCACATTTGAGAGAGGCCTTTCGACGGCTAGAGCTCCCTCAGCCCAGAGTCGAGAGGCGGCAGAGGAGTCAGAGGCTGAGGGACCCTGAGCCCAGGGAGGCGAGACCATCTCGAGGAGAACGGAAGGCCCTAGCCAGGAGAGAGCAGGAGCCAGAGGATAAGGAGCGAGGGGCATACCCTGAGTGTGGGTCGGGGCCAGTGGAGTTCCATTGTTTTACTGAGGGTGGATTGAGCAGGTCGCCAGCACACACCCAGGGGGAGCCACCAGCGTCAGAGGGGCCCTTGAGGGAATTGGAGATGCATTTAGATATTTCTCGGTGGAGGGCGTCACTTCAGGGTGAGGGGCATGGAGAGCAGGCAGAGGAGGTGTCACGAGAGGAGGTGCCACGGGAGGAGGTGCCACAGGGGGAGATACCACAAGAGGAGATGCCACGGGAGGAGGTACCATAGGAAGAGGTCCGGGGTACTCAGCGAGAGAGAGGGCTGGGCAATGAGGGGAGACGTGCAGGGAAGGAAGTGATAGAGGTTAGAGAGGACACGCCCCCACAGACGCCAGCAGTGGGTTTGAGACTCGGGGATGCACCAGGGAGCACCCGGCAGGCAAAGGAGGGGTTGCAGCGAGAGGAGACCCCTTTACCTTCATCAGAAAAGGCTCCTTCGCCAGAAGGGAGGGCAGAAAGGAGGAGAGAGAGGGCAACTGTAAGGAGAGAAGCTTTGATCCTGATTGATAAGCACCTAGCAGCTCACGCCCTGGAGCACCCAGACCTGGAGGAGCCAGCACCTGCAGAGCCACGCCAGGAGTCATGCCAGCCCGAGAAGGAGATGGAAGCAGAGATCCCAAAGAGGGTCGACCTCCGCACGAGGGAAAGGGTGCCAACTGGAGAGACGACTGAAGAAAAGAGGGCGAGACGAACCAGGCGGATAGATGAGATATGGCAGGAGAGGGAGAGGTTGGAGGCAGC